ATGACCTTGATGGTGGTGATGGTTTCACAGGTGTATACTTATCTCCAAACTCATCATTTTACACATGGGTGGGCAAAAGTAGGTTTACAGTTGTTTGTATGGAAAAAAAACATGCAGGTTATTATTATTAAAATAGCTTTATTAACTCTGTTTCACATACAACTGTGAACCTACTTTTGCCCACCCATATATTTAACATGAAAGCTTTATACATATTAATAACACCTCGATAATTTTTTAAAATGAGAGACCAAAGAGCTTCCCTCCCCCAAACAAAGAAGTGTGCCCTCATCAGACACAAAGTCTGCCAACCCCTTGATCTAGGATTTTCCAGCCTCCAGAAATGTGAGAAATAAATGCTTTTTAAGCCACCCAGTCTATGCTATTTGTTATAGAAGCCTGAACTAAGACTGGGAGTAACTGATAATAGATATGAGGTTTGTTTTTGGAGTGATGAAGATATTCTAAAATAAGATTTTGGTGACATTGTAGAACTCTGTAAATAAACTAAAAGCCATTGACTTGTATACTTTAAATGGATGAATTTTATAGTATGCAGATTATATCTCAGTAAAGCTGTTAAAAATGAAAAGAACCCGCCAGGTTGGTGTGGCTCTGTGGTGGACCCATGAACCAGGAGGTCACGGTTCAATTCCCAGTCAGTGCACATGCCCAAGTTGTGGGCTCGATCCCCAGTAGGGAGCATGGAGATGGCAGTCAATCAATGATTCTCTCTCATCATTGATGTTTCTATATCTGTCTTGCTCTCCCTTCCTCTTTCTGAAATCAATAAAAACATCTATATATATAAAAGCCAAGCGACTGAAATGCCAGAATGACTGGAACGATTGGAACAACCAGTTGCTTTGATGTGCACTGCGGCCAAGATCACCCCCCGGACCTCGATCAGGGGTGGGGCTGGCCAGCCAACCTCCCACATCCTCTCCCCCTCAGCGGGCCCAGCCTTGATCAGCCCCAATTTGTGTATCGGGCCTCTGGTATTTTTATAAAAAAATCCTTGAAGGTCTTTATCTCTTTCTTTAGAAAAAAAGAAAAGGAAAGAGTTCCAGGACAGATAGCATATTGGTTAAGAGTGCAGGGCTTCTGGTATCTTCAATGTGAGTCCCAGGTCTTCCAGCTTTTAGCCATAGGACCTTACTAAGCTTCTGTTTCCTCAAATATAAATGGTGCTTACCTCATGAGGGGTGTTGAAGATTAAACATGAACATCTGTGTAAGTTTCCTGGAACACTGGGTGTGCTAAAAAAATCTTCAGCCATTTTGTTATTATATAGGTCTTCATCTCTAATTCCAGGACATCCTTTAAATAGAATAAAATAAACCTTATAAAAATTGAAAAAATACTGTATATTTGAGAGCTTAATTTGCAGAAATATAGTAATAACTAATATTTTTTTCTGGACATTGAGCAGGTTTATACATAAATTAACATTATTATTACTGTATTCCTTTCCCCACAATCTATGAATTAGCTCTACCATTCTTTTGGTTTCCTGAATAATGAGTTAAATAAAACTTTTACAGGTGTTCATCAAGAAGCTATGTAAAAATTATGGTTATAATATTTTGAGAATTGTGCTTTCAAGCCACTTATTATATAAGTTCTCTCTACCAATATTGCCCTGGAACCCAAGATCTCAGAACATTAAACCACTCAAAGGCCACTTTGTCCCCTCCATGCCTGCATTTTCTATATTAAATTTTTGTACATGTTGTCACAAAATTTGTGAAATTATATCTTAACTAGAGGCCGGGTGTACGAAATTCGTGCATTGGGGGGGGGTGCCCCTCAGCCCAGCCTGCACCCTCTCCAATCCGGGACCCCTCAGGAGATGTCTGATTGCTTCTCACAATCCGAGACCGCTGGCTTCTAACTGCTCTGTCTGCCTGCCTGATCATCCCTAACTGCCTCTGCCTCACCCTGCACCAGGGACCCAGGATTCTTTCCTCTGGCCAGTTGCAAGCACCTGGGACCCAGGCTTCCCTCCCTCTGGCCGGCCGTAGGCACCCGGGCTGGCTTCAGCCAGGCCGGCCACAGCCACAGGGGACCGTGGGTGGGCGGCTTCGCCCGGGCTGCAGCCACAGGCACCAAGGACTGCAGGGCGGGTGTCTTGTCCCTCTCCTGGGCTGCAGGTGCAGGCACTGGCACCCAGGACTGCAGGGCGGGCGTCTTGTCCCTCTCCCGGGCTGCAGCCCCAACTGCTGGCATCCGGGACCGTGGGGCGGGCGGCTTGTCCCTCTCCCAGGCCGCAGCCCCAGCCGCTGGCACCCAGGACTGTGGGGTGTGCGGCTTGTCTCTCTCCTGGGCCACAGCCTGGCTGGTCCCCATTCCTCTCTCGCAAGCTCATTTGTGCCTGGCTGGTTCCCATTCCTCTCTCATGAGCTCATTTGTGTCTGGCTGGTCCCATTCCTTTCTCCCCAGTGTTGAGTGTCTGAGCCATTATGGAGTGACAGCATGAGGGCATGATGACCATTTTTTTTTGCATATTAGCTCTTTATTATATAGGATTATAGACTTCAAGTCAATATTGGCCCCAATTACCCTTTCCTAAAAATTTAGTTTAATTTCATTTTCTCTCTCATGACTCATATTTATCCATGTTTTATGAATCTTATGTTTATTCCTTCATTGATGCTCACTTGAGTGGTGCTTTATGATGGGGGATAGAATAGTTTGCTGAGAATGAAGTGAGGGAAACAAACCGAGAATGACAACTGTAACAGGTGAGATGATCAATGTAACTTCTATGGACTGTATGTTTGTGTCCCCCACCCCATTCTAAACCCATATGTTGAAGCCCCAATCCCCAATTGATGGTATTTGGAGGTAGGGCATCAGGGGAGGTAATTAGATTTAGATGAGGTTGGAGCCCCCAGGATGGAATCAGTGCCTTTATAAGAAGAGGAGAGCTAGCGCTCTCTCTCGCTCTCTCTCTCTCTCTCTCTCTCTCTCTCTTTCTCTCTCTCTCTCTCTCTCTCTCTCTCTCTCTCTCTCTCTCTCTCTCTCTCTCCCATATGAGGATACAGCAAGAAGGCAGCATTTTCAAACCAGTAAATGAGCACTCATAAGACACTTAATATACCAACACCTTGAACATGGACTTCCCAGCCTCCAAAACTATAAGAAATATATTTTATTGTTTAAGTTACTAAAGCTATGGTATTTTATTATAGCAGCCTAAACTGATTGAGGCACAAATGAAAAACAACCTACCTTCTCCCCTTACAAATAACATGTCTTCCTTCCTTTCATGAGATCTTGGAAAAAATGTTCATGATTAATTCTTGCAAATTAACCCTCCCCAAGACATTTGTATCACATAAAAAGACTGGGGATGGTACAACTAGCGTATATTAAATAATCCCTAAGACAGCCATTCTGACAGAAGGAAGAAACTGCTGTGGCATTTTTGCTGAGGGAGATAGGGGGTTACTGACATTGTTCAAAGGACACCCAGCAGGTCCATACCCATACTACCTATATCTAGAACCAGACGGACACAGATTGTAGGGGATATGTTGGAGCTACTCCCTAAAGTAAACTGCTTCCAAACACTTCTCAAATTAGCAAAATCTATGTTTAAAACCAAACAGTGAATATGCTTATCATCTTATCTATCCATCCAGGAAGGCAGACTCCTAGCACCTCAAATTGGAACTTCATAATTTGCCTTTTAAAAAATTGTTTTAAGAACCTGTGAACCATAAAAACTTCATTTTATTCAGCAATTCAAATAATTACTCTGACTTCAAGACTTTGATGTATTACATGCTATATTGCAAGTTAATGACAGTTTCACTATTTGGAGGAACAAGAAATAATTAAGACATAGTACAGGTGCCCTAGCCAGTTTGGCTCAGTGGATAGAGCGTCAGCTTTCAGACTGAAGGGTCCCGGGTTCAATTCTGGTCAAGTGCACATACCTGAGTTGTAGGCTCAATCCCCAGTAGGGGGCATGAAGGAGGCAGCCGATTAATGATTCTCCCTCATCATTGATGTTTCTATCTCTTGCCCTCTCCCTTCCTCTCTGAAATCAATAAAAATATTTAAAAAAAGACATAATGCAGGCAATTTTCTTCCAGTTATCCTATATAATAAAAGGGTAATATGCAAATCGACTGGACAGTGGAACAAGTAGTCACTATGATGCATACTGACCACCAGGGGTCAGACGCTCAATGCAGGAGCTGCCCCTTGGTGGTCAGTGCGCTCCCACAGGGGGAGCACCACTCAGCCACAAGCCAGGCTGATGGCTGGTTAGCGCAGTGGCAGTGGCTGGAGCCTCTCCTGCGTCCACGGCAGAGCTAAGGCTGTCCAACTGCAGCTTAGGGCCGCTCCCATGGGGAGCGGGCCTAAGCCGTCAGTCGGACATCCCCCAAGGGCTCCCAGACTGCTAAAGGGTGCAGGCCGGGCTGAGGGGACACCCCCCTCCCAGTGTACAAATGTTGAGCACCAGGCCTCTAGTATACACATAAAGTCCTGCAAACCACAGCAAATGAATAGCAAAGCTAAACTGTGAAAATGAAGAAAGAGGACAGTGAAATGAAAGTGAAAAAATACTGGTGTGAATTATTCCTCTATCCCATGTCAGGAAAATCACCAAAATTTAGAAATGAGAGGAAAAAGTTAATTGTAAAAGAGAAGGCAGCAGGAAGAGTAAGACCAAAAATTATATGGATTGACTCCATAAAAGAAGCCATAGGCATGAGTCTGCAGGAGCTGAGCAAGGCTGAGGACAGGACATTGTGGCCATCACTCATCCATAAGGTCTCCGAAGTCTGAGCCCACTCAACAGCATGTAACACACAACCTTTAGACATCATAACAAAGAGCTGTCTATAAGCCAACCTGTGAACCATCTGACATAGGATATTTAACTTTGTTGAACAACAATTGGTGAGGAAGAACTGGCTTTTAACCACACAATAAATATGAAGTTAAACTGCAGATAAACAATGAGCAATGACTTTTTCTGACCATTAGGGAAGTGTACGCTTTTATTCTCCTACAGGTAAAAAACCAGGCTAGTTCCTAAACAATCTCATTTCTTCATGCTTTTCCCCATCCTTACTACTTACATAATGAAAGTTCCATACATGTTTGTTTGTTTGTGTGTTTTTTTTTAAATAAGTACCTATGTCATTTTGCTGGTTCCCTGAAAAATTGCAGTATAAAACTTAGGTATTGTTCACCATCAATGTAGGATTTATGGTTAGGACAATTTGGGTGCTTTCGAACCACTTTTTTGGAAATGAGAAAACCTTCTCAGAGAAGCCACCAGGCTGACTATTCGCATTGCCTTGGAAAAAATAAAGATCCAATTCATAAGAGGTTTGGAACAATCTTGACTGGATTAAACAGTCATCAGTGGGGTCTCTATCATCAGGACCAACTCAGGCTTCCAATTTGATGTTTTGTTAGCAAGGGTCAACAGAGAGTTTCTCTAACATCACCATAGAATGGTAAAGGATATCTTTTCTGGACAAGAAATGGACCACATTTATAGGAATAGGAAAGAAGTAGTGCCTTACTTATTGAGACTATTTTTTAATAGTGTTTCACATTTATTGAAAAAAACAAAACAAAAAACTTTTGTCCCGATAGTGTTGAGGAATATGATAGAATCTACGAGTTATTTCGTAGACCAACAAGCACATAATTAAGGGAATACTGCAAATTCAGAAGAGAAGTGCATTCTGGGCAAAACTAATAGTTCCACAGGAGAAAGTAAGTGACTCAACTTGGCTGCCAAGCACCCTTGAGATCTGGCAGCTTTCTGGAAGGAGCAGGAGCTATGGGAGTAGGGAGGGAATGGCTCCAGATGAAGGTGAAAGGCTGGCCAGACCCTTCAGGAGCATGATGAACTGCTGGAATCACTGTCCAGGGGGTGTGGCCAGCTCAGATACCTCCTGAGTGAGATGAGATCGCTGGAGGCTGCAGTCTGTCAGTGGGAGGCCATGGATGGTGATGGCAGCCACAGCGCTGGTATCCAGGCATATCAAAGCAGGCCTGCTAGCCTGGCAGGGAGACATTGGCAGCCAACAGGCTGAGGAGGTTTATCCAGTGTGTAACGGGAGCCCAGCTCGCAGCTGGAGCCCAGGACAGAGTCCAAGTCCGCGCGGGAGGGGCCGGGCTGGCGGGAGAGGGCGGCGGCGCGCTCCGGAGCCAGGCCCAGCTGCAGCAGGAACCTGGGGCGCTATTCCTGGAACAAAGGCAAGCACTACGCGGGAGGGAACAGGAGCGCGGGGGAGATCACCGCCACTGGAACACGGGGACGGGGAGGCGCGGAGGGAGGACGCCTGTGGCGGTCTGGGCGGCAGCCACCGGCGCGGGGACCCTCCCCCGAGAGCACCTGTCCCCAGGCCCGAGGGTCTCCTGGCCTAGAAGTCCTCGTCCTCCACCCATCCAAAGACCCGCTTCATCTCGGCCAGGAAGCCCCGGTAATCATTGAGCAGGGGGCTCTCCTTCCTGATGTAGGGGATCACCCACTGCAGGGCAGGCCCCGTGAGGCGGGTGATGAGGAACGTCACCTTCAGGGCATCGCTGGAGAACAGGGTGTCGTCCACCAACATGTAGGCGCCCGTCTGCACGATAAACTCCGGGAGCCGGTCGGTGTCGCCGTCGAACGTCTCGGGGAAGGGAATCGGGTTCCTCCACCGACGCCTCCGGTGCCTGAGGGGTAATGCCAAGAGGGCCTTAATCAGCTGCACTCGGCCCTCCATCGCACCGGCAGAGGGGGCCCCAGGCCCGCGGTGGGCGGGGCCAAGGCTGGCGTCTGGCACGTGCGTGGGCTCTGCCTATCAGGGGTTTGTCGCTAGTGCACAGGCACTCACGGGGAGGGGTTAGGATCCGGGGCCCTGGGCCAGGGTGCGGGGCCATAAGTAGCGCCTGGCCAGTGCGTGGTCTTTGCCCAGAAGGCAGTTATTTGGTCACTAAAGTGCAGGTGCGAAACAGGAAGGATGGGACAATGAGTGGGGCACAGGAAGACGGAGGGAGGGGTCAGGGGAGGGGCTAATTCCCTTTGAAAGAAGCAGGGCAGAATTCACAGCAGCAGGGATATGAGCTTTTTCTGGGCGGGCCTCCGGGGAGGGCCGAGAATCAGGGGAGGAGCCCAGGATACCTTGCTCCAAGCGATGATGTAGGTGCCCGCTGCATGTGGTCCCTTTTCCAGGGTTGAGATGGTTGGCCCCATCCATTCCTCCCCTGGGCTCTTGCATAATTGTTGCAGACCCTCAATGCCACTTGAGTGAGGTCCTGTGAACATATTTTCCTGCTGATCCAGGGCAGAGAGAAATGTTTTGGCTGGCGGGGTCCCCATTCCATTCCCTGGGATTTGGAGGGAAATCATTAAAGTGCTTTTAGAATGGTCCCTGCCCCTGGAGTGTCTGGTGACCCCCACCCCTAAAACCTAGGGTCTAGTGACCCTCCCAAAGGGTCTGGGACATTCAAGGGGGGAGCCGGCTCCCTGACATGCAAAGAAAGGGGCCCATGCCCTAGCTGGTTTTGCTCAGTGGATAGAGCGTCAGCCTGCAGACTGGAGGGTCCCGGGTTCCATTCCGGTCAAGGGCACGTGCCAGGGTTGTGGGCTGGATCCCCAGTGGAGGGCGTGAAGGAGGCAGCCGGTCAGTGATTCTCTCTCATCATTGATGTTTCTATCTCTCTCTCTCTCCCTCTCCCTCTCCCTTCCTCTCTGAAATCACTAAAAACATATTTTAAAAAATAAATAAAAATAAAGGGGCCCAGGGCCCTGCCCAGTCAGCAGCAGTGGCATAAGGGTTCCAAGCCCCAAGCACTCTCCTCTTCAGTGGAGAAAAGGGGAGATGGGGCTAGCACACTCAATTCCTGTTAAGGGGAAGCTGTGCCTCTCCCCAGAAGATGGGAAAGGCAGAGTTTTGGGAAAGATAACATGTTGTGGATGAGCGTGGTCATGTGTGATCACAAAAGCATCAGGGTTCAGAGGTCACATTCCCAAGGGCTGTCTGTCAAGTGCACCTGCTCTGACTAAAAGGCCTAGTTGTCGCTAATACGCAGGCTCACTCTGGGCAGAGGCACTAACCAGGACCTAGGGCCTGCGTGGGACTGTGTCCATGGACCGTACCCTAAGCACTCCACCCACAAGGCAGTTGGCCACTAATTCGCAGTTGCCAAACAGGAAGGATGGGACTATGGGATAGGGTACTAGAAGACAGAAGGAGGGTTCAGGGGTGGGCTAGCTCCCTTTAAAAGAAGCAGGGCAGAATTCAGAGCAGCTGGGTTGAGCTTTTTCTGGGCCGGCCTCCGGGGAGGGGCAGGAATCAGGGGAGGAGCCCAGGATACCTTGCTCCATGTGATGATGTAGGTGCCTGCTGCATGTGGGGACCACAGGGTCCTTTTTCCTCCCGTCCTCCCCTGGGCTCTTGCATAATTGTTGCAGACCTTTGACTCTCCATGGCCTTTGAGTGAGGTCCTGTGAACACATTTTCCTGCTTATGGATGAATCTCTCAGCCACAGAGGTATTACATGGATGGTTGTAGATGTGGTGGCTCCGAATGTTTGCCAACATAATCCAGAGTAGCATATTCAAAAAATAACGCACCACAATCAGTTAATATAAAGAGGGTTAATTGATTTTAAAAAATCTCTTAATGTGCTATTGAAGAAGCCAAAACAGGATTACCAGTATACAAACCAAAAGACAAAAATAAGGGAGGCGAGATGCTTTTCAAATGTGACTTTAAACTTGTTCTACCTAAGAATAAAGGAATGGAATTACTAAGTGTTTTACAAATTGGAAAGGAGGAGGGGAAATTAACCATCACTTGTTATATCTGAATTCATTTGTCTGGCTGAGTGCAAAAATTAATATAAATATATCATGGGCTTTTATATATACAGTAAATAACCAGTTAAAATATATAGGGGTGGCCAGGCTGGTGTCACTCAGAGGTTGAGCGTCAAACTATGAACCAGGAGATCATGGTTGGATTCCCCATCAGCGCCTATGCCCCGGGTTGCAGGCTCAATCTCCAGTAGGGGGCAAGCAGGAGGAAGCAATCAATGATTCTCATCACTGATGTTTCTATCACTCTCTCCCTCTCCCTTCATCTCTGAAATCAATTATATACATACTAGAGGCCTGGTGCATGAAATTTGTGCTCGGGTACGGTCCCTAGGCCTGGCCTGAGATCAGGGCCATCTTCCCTAGCTGCCCGCAGCTGGCCCCGCCCCCCACTGCCACCCATCTCCGTTTGCCATCAGGTGATCAGAGCCTGCCAGCTGAGAAAGGGACTGAGAGGTGGTCAGTGCACTTCATAGTGACTGGTCCAGCGGTTGTTCTTGTCATTCTGCCCTTAGGGTCAATTTGCATATTACCCTTTTATTATATCACACACACACACACACACACACACACACTAGAAGCCCGGTGCATGAAATTTGTGCACTTGGGGGGTTCCCTCAGCCCAGATTGCGAAAGGGTGCAGGCCAGGCCGAAGGACCCCACCAGTGCATGATTGGGGCCAGGGAGGGACGCAGGAGATTGGCCAGCCGAGGGAGGGACCTTGGGAGGGCTCCAGAAGGTGTCCAGCCTGTCTTGCTCAGTCCTGATCAACCGGACCCCAGCAGCAAGCTAACCTACTGGTCGGAGCGTCTGCCCCCTGGTGGTCAGTGCCATCATGGTGACTAGTTGGCCGGTCAACTGTCTGCCCCCTGGTGGTCAGTGCACATCATAGCGAGTGGTTGAGCGGCCTTAGCATATCATTAGCATATTACCCTTTGATTGGTTGAATGGCCCGATGAGCAGACACTTAGCATATTAGGCTTTTATTATATAGATTCCCTATTCAGAAAAGCAATTCAAAGGAAATAGTGCCCAGGAATATATTTTTTGAGTTGTAAAAGCCACATGAAATAATTTCAATGCTAAAGAAGGATGCAAAAAAATGCTCAAACAAATGATAAGCTATCCCCAGATCTTGCATAGGATGACAAAGTCTTAAAGATGTTAAATTTCCCTAAGACAAATTACACTTCCAACACATGATTAAGTCATGTCATGAGTCAATACTGTGTTTAATCCAACTCTGGGCACTAATTTTCTCCAACATTATCCTACCAAACCAGCCAGAGGATTTTGTTTTGATTAGACAAGCTCATTTTAAGGTTCAGATGGAAGAAGAAACAACCAAAAAAATGCTTAAACCCCAACTCTGGAGGAGCTCACCTATCATTCTCTGAGCTTCCAAAGAAGTAGTCAGGCTCTAGTGCAGGGGTCCTCAAACTTTTTAAACAGGGGGCCAGTTCACTGTCCCTCAGACCGTTGGAGGGCCAGACTATAGTTTAAAAAAAACTATGAACAAATTCCTATGCACACTACACATATCTTATTTTGAAGTAAAAAAACAAAACGGGAACAAATACAATATTTGTATTTGCATGTGGCCCGTGGGTCATAGTTTGAGGACCCCTGGTGGGTAGTCACCCATGCTCACCAATTGCTATGTTCTTAGCCCTGCACAAATAATGTGGCTAGATGTCCCTGATGTTTTAACTTCCTAAACCGGAGTTCAAAACTAAATTTAACCAATTTTACTTTGCTGTTTCTTCCTATTTCCTCTTAGAGAACTATGAGGCCCTCTCTATCAGCTACCATTGGCGGTGGATGATATTCCAGGGTGGGTAGAATAATACCATGAACAATTACATGACATGACCCAGTGATTATGTGGTTCACCTACCACATTTGGGAGCAGTTGATTTCAACATTGAAGATACTCACCCCTAAGCAAGCTACATATCCCTGTTTGAGTATCTGTGAAATTCAGATAGCAAATGGCCTCCTGGAAAGGATCAGGCTGACAGTCTCAAATTATATGAAACTTGGTACCCTTTCCAGACAACATCTGAAGTCGGTTACCTTTTGTCCTATAGCAACAGAAGGAATCATTACTCTGCACATGGGGTGGCAACATGAAATGACAGAAGGAGTCAGAGAAGAGACTGCTCATGCCTGAGTCTTGAAAGTGGGAAGGGGGTGGATTTCCAAAGACAAAGGAAGGAAATGATTGTATATGGAAATCCTGAAAAGGGTGGTTGGGAGATGTTTGAATTAATTGCTGGGACTAATCCTGGAAGTTCGCTATGAGTGACCTTGTCGGTTTTCCTTGCCTTTTCCCCATTTTTTGCCCCCTTAACTGGCTTGTCAACATTCTGAGTACAAACTTTGGGTCCTTCACATTGTGTCCGGGCCAGCACTATCTGATTCCAGAGCCTACTTGATTCTCTTGTATCCCAGCTCTGATGTCTCCCCATGTCCCCTCCTAATAGCAAAGAAGAACTCACATTTACACTTAGGGGTGGGAGAAGCACAGCAAGGAAGGCTCTGTGGAGAAGGAGGGTGCAATTGCACTAGGCTTGGGTCAACTTGGTCAGCACAATTTCCAAAATCAGAGATAATGTCAAGGCTATGGTATATGCAAAGGCCTGAGTAGTAGAGGTGGACATTGAAGGAGCATAGATATAAAAGTGATAACAATATGGGCAAAGATGAGTTTTTTGGTTGGGCCTTGTGATATGGGCCAAGTTTCCACTCACAGACCTGGAGAGAGTGGACAGCCTCCTTGTCAATCATTGCAGGCCCTCCAATGATGGTGTGTGAAGGCGGGCCACAAGGAGGCTGTGGGAGACGCTCTAAAACGTGAGCAAGCTCATTAAAATCCGGATTGTACAATGCGGCTTCCATGGATG